CAAGCCCGCCTGCACGCACGCACGCCCGCCACGCACACACACACACACACACCCCACACACACACACACCCCACACACACAAACACACGCACACACACACACACCCACACACACACACACACCGCAGACACCACACACACCCCACACACACACACACACCCCACACCACACACACACACACACGCACACCAGCAAAACAGGAGTGGCTGTTGCCTAGCGCCCAAGAAGTGTACCGTTTTGCAGGTTAGTGGGAAAAGATTCATTTTCCCCAAACACAATAGGTTAGCGCTCCAACCCAACACATTCAAGAAAAGGCAGAAAAGGTAAGTAACATGCAAGCGCTGCCATGAGCTCCAATTGCTTCATTTTATCTGGTGGACAGCCAAGGCAGCTCAATCACACCCATCTTCGCTGTGCAACTCATTGAACAGACATGGTGCAATTTGATAAAGAACTCAAATGCACTTCGATGACAGCAACCCATGCAGTTGGAATCAAGTTGTGACCTCACGTTCTCGGCGTGACATGCTAAACGCTGACTCCCAGCGAGCGAATGGGAGGCGTTGGCGCGAGAATTCCAGATGCAAAAAATGTCTAAAAGCATAACATGGATGACATGGTCAGTCTTGGATTCAAAGGATGCGGGAGCCACACTAGGCTATATCAAGTCGTAGTGGATGTGTGAATGCCAAACTCGCATACGTGCTTTAGGATGAATATGCTGGGAATAGTTTCACGGCGGTCGTGAGAGGTTTCAACCCCTCAAACATATAATGCCACCTTCAGATCAATCCGGACAATAATCCGAAAAATCCAACTCCATTCATGATATCCCTCTAAGGAACCCCCCCGATTGGTATTGAATCGAAGTTGGCACCAAATGGAACCCATCCCGCCCCATTTTCCTGAAGCAAAAACACCTCATTTGGGTTTGATCGATATGGCCTGACCCCAAATGAAGGGTAACATTGCCCAGGAAAGCTGTCCGTTGTGGTTCGCCTGGGCAGCCCATGTCAAAGACGTTTGGATCAACCTTGGACTTTGGATCAACCCGTTCACGGGGGTCGCCGGGTGTCGGGTGCCCTCGCGTGGCGTGGCCCGGCAGCCACGCAGCGTCCAGGCCCGTAGCAACTTGGGCAGCGCTCAGTGCCTGAAGTGCAGCGATCCACTTGAGCGGCCAAACAACACCCATTGACTGTGGGCTCTAAGCCGATTATACAGTTGTGTTTATACGGATTGGTATAAGCAGGTAGTAGAACTACTAAAATGGGCAATGGGGGTGTTGGGCGCTGGTCACTTGTGGCTGGGCTTTGCTCTTCGCACCTAAGCAAAAGGTCGATCACCTTTTGTAGGTTGAACAGAAAGAAAACCCATTTGATTCCCAAAGGTCTAAGGGGCGATTTGGTCACGAAAACTTGGACCCTGCACCCCACTTACTGGTTACACTTCTTTAGGGGCTATAAATTGTCAACCCCCACTTCAAAAAAACATTTAACTTGGATCCTGCCTCAAACATGTTGCACGCCACCACAATTTGAAAGGCCGTTGTGTTTGAGCCAACTTATCATCATCCAGTACAGTATAAGGGGGGCAGGTCTCAAGGGGACATGCACGCACAAGTGATCTTGTGCTGGGGAAACACACACACACAAATGCTGGAAAACAAGATGACTGTCTTCCACATGGAAGCCAAGGATTTTGAACCAGAGCCATCTTGAAAAGGCATTTTGTGAACTGTCGTGCTTGTTTGAAGAGTAAAAAGGTGTCTCCAGGTCCAAATGGCCCTGAGTCCAAATCTTAAAGGATTTCAGGCCACTCTAGGAGTATCAAGCAACCCCTTCACAAGGCACCGTTTCTTTGGGAGCCCGAATCCTACATTTCTGATCCAGCAAAGCCTGCAAGAGGTAGAATCGAAGTGGATCTGGAATTTTCCCATTGTCTACATTTGGGTGGGAAACAATGTCCTACAAATGACAGGAAGCTCGAATCAGCACTTTGGGCAATTGTGCACATCGCGTCCGTTTACAACCTCAACGGGTTGGTGCAGGATTAGCTTGAAGTAAAAAAAAACTAACTCACCAACCTCATCCTGCGACTGGTATGACATTATGAAGAGAAGGGTACATGGTAATCCAAATAATACACTTATCTATTTAATGGAAGCGGTACGCTCACACACTCCCACCCGCGCAGTCTCGCAGGTTGGCATCCGCAGGAAGTGAACAAAAAAGTTTGCACCGAACCGCTGCAGTCACTGTACAAGCACAGAAACAACCAGACATGCAAAACGAAGGTGTACAAACTCTGGGTGATTCCGACTCGATTGTCCAGTCTCGCGATTCACAGCGCAGGTTGCATCTGACAGGTAGGTCGTGATCGGGCTTCCCCAACACGATGCTCGTCTCCTACTTCCTGAGTGGATTTGCCAAGCAAAATATGTTTTGTTGGCCGCTCAAATTGGCCAAGCAACTGAGATATGTCAAACAAATCCTGAACAGCTCCACTTCCGCGGTTCTGGGAAAAGAGACTACCATCAATCTGGGTGAATAGCCAGTGAACAGCTCAGGGATTAACAGACCCAAAGATCCAGGACAGTTGTCTATTCTTACTTTTGATTCAATTTATAAATTGCCATGATTCACCTTCCTTCACTCATGTTGCTGTTTGGACTTATCAGCCCAACTGTTTCACGCCCGTTGCAGGTGGGGGAATGCGGCCTGGAATTCTGGCTGGCTGAGGTTGGGCTCAAAACCAAAATGTCAAGCCACGTGGGTGCTTTGCCAGGGTCAATTCCCCGGTGAGTTGCGAGTTGTTGTCCTGGCAACATGTTTGGTCAAGCTTGGTCCTTCGCCCATCTTGAGCTCTCAAAAGCAGAGCTGACAGTTTTCGGCTGAGCCACTCTGTGACTGTGACTCTATCTATTTGCTTAAGCATGTTGGACCGCTGATGGCTTCAAAGGGGGCCATACCAGCGCCCCAAATGGAGTAGTTGACCTGGATCAAACTGACAGCTGGCTAGGAAAGCGTGCTAGATACATATGTGTTCGTCTGTTGCTTGAGGCTGTTGTGCTCAAAGTGTCTTTGCGCAGAAATCAATTTGTCGGGGAAGCATCCACAACTTTCTCACCTTGGATTTGGGGGCCTCCCCAAAAACGGATCTAATGTCAAGAAAAGGAACGTTCGATGGAAAAGCCTGGAAGTTTGAGTCCGGCTGCTTTGACTCCCGTAACTTTCTCGGGGAAATGGCTAGTGATTGCAAACACGTGGGTCAAGGCCAGACCCGAAACTTGCGGATCCTGTCTGGCCGAGGCAAGACTTCGCCTTGGGGGGGGGGGTTGTGTTAGGAGGGAGGCCTGCAAAGCCTCAGAACTTCACGGGATCTCCATATCTTTGGAAAAAAGAACCCCACACATTCAAGCTCACTACCTATGAAGGTTTCCCCATGTGCGAGCCTCCTCGAAGTCTTCGAGCTCCAGCAAGCACTGAGCGCGCCTAGGGTCAACTTTCACGGGACCCCTTGTTGGTTATTTCACGGGAAACCAACAGGACACCGTTTGAGCTAAACACGGGTTGCCAGCAAACCAGCAAACACGAACACAAACACAAACACAAGCACAAACGGAAACAGACACACACACAAACACACAAACACACAAACACACAACCACACAACCACACAACCACACAACCACACAAACACGCAAACACACAAACACGCAAACACGCAAACACACAAACACACAAACACACAAACACACAAACACAAAACCACACAACCACACAACCACACAAACACACAAACACACAAACACACAACCACACAAACACACAAACACACAAACACACAAACACACAAACACACAACCACACAACCACACAACCACACAACCACTAGAGGTCCTGGAGTTCGGGGCCTAAGCTGAAATCCGCCAGCCGCCGATTTTGGACACAGCTGGGTCTCAGAGTTTCAGCCGCCAGCCGCCTATTTTTTTTGCTGGCTGGTTCCGCCGGGCATCTCCTTGGCTGGCTGGCTGATTCCGCCGGGCATGTCCTTGGCTGACTGGCTGATTCCGCCGGGCATCTCCTTGGCTGACTGGCTGATTCCGCCGGGCATTTTCTTGGCAGGCTGGCCGGCTGATTCCGCCGGTGGATTCCAGGCCGGCTTGCTGGCCGATTCCGCAGGCTGGTTCCGACCAGAAGCGGTGGTTTACAAAAGCTGGCTTTTGTGTACGGCCGGCGTCTTCCAACAGAAGGTTTCCGCATGGGCGTTTCCTTAGCTGTCTGATTCTGCCGGTGCGTAGCTCTGATGAGAAATGGTCGTTTACAAAAGCTGGGTTTTGTATACGTCCGGTTTCTTCCAACAGGAGGGTTCCGCTGAGCATTTCTTTGGCTGGCTGGCTGATTCCGCCAGTGGGTTCCTGGAGCCATGGTCCTCCTGAGCCCCCCTTTCATTTCCGGTACGAGGACACCTCCATGAACTTGCTTGCACCCTTTATTTCTAAGTCAACCAACTCCTGTTGATTTGTCAGCCAAGTATGGTGATGTTCAACCCAATTAGCAAAGGTTATAAGGCGTCAAATCCCACTTCTCCCAGTCGCTACCCCGAGTATGACTGACGCTGGACCGCATCGGTTTTTCTTTTCTGCGCGTTCGATCTTGCATCTACTGCCCAAATCGATAAGAACGCTCGTTCGAGGCATCCCCCCCGCAGCGGGGCCAAACATTTACGAATGTTGCAACTACGAGAAAAAACCCGCGGGCCACTAAGTCCTGCACCTACCAACTGGGTTGAAACATCCAATACGGGTCCCTACATGTCCCTTTCGGCTGGTTTCCAGTACGCCCTAATTTTCGGGAACCTGGCCAATCGGTGAACTTCCATTGGCAGTGATGTTTTACATGGATATGAACTTTCATTATCTATCTATCTATCTATCTATCTATCTAGCTCTCTATCTCTCGATCTCCCTACCTCTCTATCTATCTCTCTATCTCTCTCTATCTCTCTCTCTAAATCTCTCCAACTATCTGTCTATTTATTTTTCTCTCTCTCTCTCTTTCCATCTATCTTTCTATATGTCCATCTACCTAGTCTATAATCTATCCACCGGTCACCTACCCATCTATTTATCTGCCTGCCTATGTACCTAGTTCTCAATCAATCGATGTATCTATCTCTATCAATCTATCAATCTATCAATCTATCTACCGGTCTGTCTATCTATCTCTCTATCTCTATCCATCTATCTATCTACCCATCTATCTCTCTATCTCCCTCTCTCTCTCTGTGTCTCTGTCTTCCTATCTATCATCTACGTACCTATCCATTTATCCATCTACCTACCTGCCCGTTGATTTATCTGTCTATCTCTCTCTGTCTCTCCATCTACCTATCTACCTACCTATCTATCCCTATTTATCTATCTACACCCCTACCTATTTATCAAGCCATCCGCAAATCTATCTATCTATATTTCTCTTTATCTATCTATCTATCTATCTATCTCTTTCTCTCTATACACCTGTCTATCTCTCTCCCTCATGTTTATCTACCTGTCTCTCTCTCTCTCTCTATCAGTCAATCAGTCAATCAATCAATCTATCTATCTATCTTACTATCTACCTTGTTTCAACCTACCTACTCAGTTGTCAATTTATCCATCTACCAACCTATCTATCTATCTCTCTCTATTTATCTATCTATCTATCTCTCCATCTATCTTGCCATCTGTCCGTTTATCTAGTCTATTATCTATCGACCTACCTAACTATTTCTCTACCTGCCTACGTACCTACTCATCTGTCTGTGTATCTATTCAATATCTATCTCGATCTCGCTCTCTATCTATGTACCTCTATCTATGTATCTCTCTATCTATCTCTCTATCTCTCTTTCTCACTCTATGTATCTAGCCATCTGTCTCTCTGCTTCTTTTTCTCTATCCATGTGTCTATCGATCTATCTATCCACCTCTCTCTCTCTCTCTCTATCTGCTTAACTCTCTTTCTACCTACCTATCTCGCTCTATATATCTGTCTATCTGTAAATTCATAAATCTATCTATCTACCTCTGTCTATCTATCTACAAACCTCTCTGTCTCTCTACCTCTTTGTCTTCTATCTATCTTTGTATCCATCTAACCATCTATTTCTTGAACTGTATACCCGTCTATCTATCTACCTAGCTCTCTCTCTCTCTCTCTCTCTATGAGAATGTATATCTCTGTCTACTTGTTCATACATACATCTATCTAGCTGTCAATCTCTGCCTATCTATCTATCAATATCCATCTCTCTCTCTCTCTCTCTCTATGCATCTACCTCTTTGTCTTCTTTCTATCTATCAATTTAGCTATCTAACCATCTATGTCACCATCTTTCTAACCATCTATGTATCAACCCCTTTCTCTACCAATCGATCTATCTACCTACCTACCTAGCAATCTAGCAGTCGATCTAGCAATCTGTCTCCCTACAGCCTCCCCGCCAATCTACCAGCCCACCAACCTATCTATCTGTCTGTCTATCTATCTATCCCTGTCTCTCTGTCTATCTGATCTGTCTATCCATCCATCCATCCATCCAACTGTCTAACTATCAATCTATTTATCTATCAACCTACCTACCTATTCATCTATGTATCGGCCCATCTATCTATCGATAAAACCGTCCATCTATCTATCTATCGTTCTCTCTAAATCTCCATGAACTACCTACCTATCTGTCTATCTATCTAAAAACTTCTATCGATCGATCTATCTGTATATCGATCCATCTCTCTCTCTCTCTCTACATCAATCTCTCTCTATCTCTCTTTGTATCTATCTATCTATCTATCTACGTACCCAGCTACTTATCCGTCTACCGACCTACCTATTTATCTATCTACCTGTCCAATTCTCTCTGTCTCTCTATCTATCTACCTACCTATCTAGCTCTATTCATCTATCTACTTGCCTGCCTACCTATTTATCAACCTATATACCTATCTATCTATCTATCTCTCTCTCTCTATATCTATCTATCTATCTGTCTATCTATCCATCTATGTAACTACCTATCTAACCATCTATCTATCTAATCCATTTATCTTTCTATCTATGTATCTATCTACCTATCTATCTACGTATCTATTTACCTTCTGCCTGCGTACCTGTTTATCTATTTGTTTCATCTTTCTATCTATGTAACCATCTATCTATCTCTATCTGTCTATCTTTCTATCCCTTTTATCGACCTCTATCTATCTATCTATCTGTCTGTCTATCTATCTATCTAACAATCTATCTATCTACTTGTTTCAACCTACCTACTCACCGATCTAGTGATCTATTTAATGACCTATCTATCTCTCTGCCTGTCCATCTTTCTATCTATCGGTCTTTCTCTCTCTCGCTCTCTCCCTCTTTCCATCTTTCTTTCTTTCTGTCTATCTATGTATGTAATCGATTTAATCTCTCTATCTACCTATCTCTATCTCTCTCTATCTCTCTATATCCCTCTCTCCCTCTATCTATATTCCAACATCTTTCTCTATCTACCTATGTCTCTCTTTCTACATTTATGCCTATCTCTCTCCCTCTATCTACCTACATCTCTCTATCTCTCTACCTATAAAACTATCTATACCTTTCTCTATCTACCTATCTCTTTCCTATTTTCCTGCCTACCTATATAGACATCAGTCTATCTATCAATCTTTCTATCTCTGCATAGCTATCTATCAATCCCCCCCCCTCTCTCTCTACCTATCTAAATCCTATCTACCTACATGTTCTCTATCTACCTATCTCTCTCCCTATCGAATCTAACTACCTGCATCTTTCTCTATCTGCCTATCGCTCTTCCTATATACCTGCCTACCTATATAGACATACATCTATCTATCTATCTATCCCTACCAATACCACCCCCTCTCTCTCTCTCTCCCTCTATCTTTCCACCTCCAAATCTATCTACCCACATCTGTCTCTATCTATTTATCTATCTGCCCATCTACCCCTTTCTCTATCTACCTGTCTCTCTGTCTCTCTCTCTTTGCCTATATTTCCGTCTATCTTTTTAGGCAGAAATCTATCTATCTATCTATCTATCTATCTCAGCCCTGCGAACGAAGCTAACCGAAAACACACAGATTCAGCGCAAGCCACATGACAGCGGAAGTCTGCAGGGATCAATCCAGCAACATACGCAATGAATTGTCGCGAACAACAAAACCAACTAACGTGTGTCGGCTTATTGTTCGGTGTGTGTGTGTGTGTTGATCGTGCTTTTGCACGCCCAAAATTTCACGGACTTCTTCAGTGTTTGCAGGGGGCAGGAATAGGCCAGCTCCCAACAGTGACTGCGCACGGAAAAAACACCAATGCCCTAATCCACGGGGTGTTTGTTTCAATGGAGGGAGGTGTTGAGCCTGCAAGTAAGGAGTCCCGAAGAAGCCAGCTTTATGTGCTAGAAACTATTCCAAGTACACGGTGTCCCTGCAGGGTGA